TTCCATTTTCCTGGAAGAAATATGTCAATTCTTTTTCCATATATTGCTGGAAACTTTTTTATTTCTGTTAAGTCTTCAGACTTCCGACCTGGGCTGAGATGAGTTTAGCTGATTGGTTCCAGCGTGCCGGGGGACAAGCGCGCTAAACGTAGCCGTGGATTGGCTGGCCACCGATAGCGGTCTTACAAATAGCTGTCAGATGGCCTCTCTTGTTTGTCTGTTGTAGTTCTAGGTTAGTTTGGTAATAAATGGTTCAACTGCAACTTGGCGTCTGGTGTTACTTTGTTTTGCGAACAAAGCAATTTCAATATTCTTGAATTTAAAGTCCATCTCCCCTTTTTCCTCTGTCTCTTCCAAGTCATTGTTATTGGATTATGATCTGCCCATGTGCTTATATCTATCTCTGTCTTAATTGTTTTGAGCGTTAGCTCTGTAGACATCCACATAATACCAATTCTTGACCACGATAAATGTCTATTTGTGTAGAATGTCTTTCTTTCGGGTGTCTTATTCTCCAAATATCTTGCAAGTCTAATTCTTCCACCATTGTGAAAAATGTTTTGGGTAGGATTTTTCTCGGCTTCCTGTTCATCTTTGTAGATTTATAGTCTATTTCATTATTTACATTTGCATTAAAGTCTCCTAATATACATATATCTTCATAGTCATATTCTGTTATCTTTTTGTGTAGTTTCCCCCCAAAATATTCTTGTTTGTTGTTTGGAGTGTATATTGCCACTAATAATATCTTTCTCATATTCATTGTTATTTCCACCATCAGTATTCTCCCCTCCCCATCTTCAAAAATTTTATTTGATTGTATTGTCTTTCAAATATATCATGCTATTCCCTTTTTGCTTTGGTCAGCCAGGGTCGTATATAAATTACCAAGTTTTTCCTGTTCCAAAAACTTTCTGTGTTGTTTTCTAATATGTACTTTCTGTAAGCATATAATGTCCAATTTCAATTTCTCTAATTCATTGAATGTTTTTCTTTTTGTTGCTGAATTTAGTCCGTTTATATTAATGGAGATTACTTTTATTTCTTCCTCCATGTCATTGGTTTATAGGTTTAGTTGATCTAATCATTCTTAGCTCCCTCTGCTCCTTTGTCTCTTTGGCCCTTGCTCCTTCTCTTAGCACTTTCTCTTCCTGTTTTTTCTCCATCTCCCTTTGATCTTTTCCCTTAGCTTCCTGGCATTTAGCTCCTTCCTCTTCTCTTACCAGCGTTCCCTCCTGTGCTGCTATATTTTGTTCATAAAATAATTCTGCTTTCTCTAGTGTATCTAGTCTGTACCTTTGTTCGTGCCAGTTTACCAAAATCCCTTCTGGAACAAGCCATCGAAAACTCACCCCTTTTTTGATCAGGCTCTTAGTCAAGAAGTGGTATTCCTTTCTTATTTCTCTGACCTTCCTTGGAATTCCTTCAAAACCACTAACGCTCTAGATTTGTATTTTATTGTGGTACTTCTTGCTGCTTGCAATATTTCATTTTTATGGGTTTTTTTTTGACAAATCTTACATGTACCTCTCTGGGCAAGTTGTTTCTCATTGTATATCTTGTATATACTCTAAAAGTCTCATCCATTCTGCCTAGGATATATTCCTTACTCATTTCTGTAGCCGCTGAGAAAATTTCTGCGATATTCTCTGCTAAACTCTCTCCTTTCTCCTCTTCTATGTTCTGGAGTCTTAGATAGAATTCGGATCTCCCACAATACATTGGCTCCTTCCTGTTTTTTATCAATTGCTGTCAGCCTATAATCCATCTTCTCCATTTTTTTCTCTGTTATCTCTGCCTTTTCTTCTACCTTCTGTAGTCTTTGTTCATTTCCCCCCATCATTTCCTTGACTTCTTTCAATTCGTCTTCCACTTTGCCACTTTCTCTTCTATTCTTTTTATCCTCTCCTTGATATCCAAATGTATGTCTTGCAACATACTTTTTAGCTATAAAATAGCTTTGTCTTGGGTGTTCCTGTGCCTGCTGGTTTCTGTGTCACTGAACCGGGCGGACTGGCTGTTACAAATGCATATGATGTTATTTTCTTCGTCTTGCTATTTGAATCTGACATTGTTGTATTTAAGTTGTAATCAAGTTTTGTAATCTAAAGAATAGATTAGTAGATTAATTGTTGTCCTAGAGTCGCCCACACCGGCCCAAGCACCAGTCTCCAATAAACCGACCCCTGTTCTTGGGCCCCGTCTTCAGGTTCTTGCTACCTTAATCCCTTTATAATGGCCACATGAAGTAACAAAAGGGAAAAAATAGGAAACAAGGGAAATATTGGTCAAAAGGCCCTTACCTCCCAAAAAAGGGGGGAGAAAAAAACCCACAAAATTAATTCCACAATGGTAATCCACACCTCATTGCAAGAGGTTAAAAATAGAGATAAAAAGGTAAACATTGATTGGATAAAAAATGACCCAAAGTAGCCAAATGAACAAAGAGTGAAAAAAAGAGCCTTTAGTATGAGTTGTCTGGGTTATCCAAATTTCTTTCTCCTCCTTAGGAAAAAGGGGGAAGCACACACAATCAGGAAGGCAGTCTCAGTAGCCTATTATAATGTAACAGGGGAGGCAAGACAATGTTTACACAGCTGGTCTTATTTCCTTCTTCTAGAGGAGATTTATCAGTTTGTTATTATCCACAATGTTTCAAGATCAACTCTTCTTAGGCAGCTTTTACCTCTTTGCTACTAGACAGCAATGCAGACAATTAATTCAACGTATTTTCTTTTAAGTTCCTTTTTGCATCAAAAGCAAATCTAGCAATTCTCAAAAGTTACCAAGGTACCAAGAAAATCATAGGCATAGAGTGAAAGTTAAACACCAAGGGCTTCCAATTTGCTTTCTAATATCCTTAAGCAGTTCTCAAGATCTATCACTTCCTTTCTTCTATCTAATGGCTTGGTTCATTCACTGCTGTCCTGAGAGAGGGAGAGCTTTGTAATGTCCGCTCCCCCATTTCTTCTGCCACTCTCTCTTTAAAAAGTTTTAACCGGAGGTTAAAAAGTTAATTTGCAGGAATGTTGCACTTTCAAGCACTCTTATTATCTCACCCAGACACTGTCCACGTTGATTCCCACGCTTTGTTTGGCCTTCCAGCTGCGATAGCTCACATTGGCTACCTTTCCTGCTTTGTGTCCAGGAGCAAATGCAGGCATTTTAGGAGAGTTGTGGGTTCCCCAACAACACCCACTTGCACCCCCCTCTTCACTGTCTCTTCAGGACAGCTATGGTGGGGTTACAGGTCACCCCTCCCCAAATACAGCAGGAATCTGATGGTTCTTCAGAGAGTCCTCCAGAGAACCCGTCCTGTTGCTGGGATTCAGGCCACAGCCCTCTAATTCATGATTTGTTTAATGAAGGATTGTTAAATGTCATACATGTGACTAGGCACACTATGATATAGTTTTACACATAGAGAGACACATACAGTTACTGATGCAATGCAAGATGGGTTTTAAGTCTTCCTTTAGCTACATGAAATATATGAATAAAAATTGCTATGAAATCACAGACCACAGAAGAAATTTCCTCTGTATCGTTTCTCTAGTTTCATTAAAGAGCTAATTGCAAATAGATTTGCTAAATCATGTTTTGTTTTACCTTCTGATAAATATCATCAGATTAACTGTGATTAATTATTATCTAACTATGGCTGGGAAACAGCAACCAAAAAGCAATATTTGTAGAGTTGAGCATTTATGAGTTACTGAACTCATAATTATCTTTCTACATGTAGCTCACAAATAGGCTGTGACGCAAGGATGATTGGTTAGTAATCTTATTATATTTGTACTTGGAATTGACTGAGTTTTAATAGGACAAACACCCATAGCTGTACACACAAGCATGTGATCAGGGGATGGTTCAACAGATAATTGTAATTGATTATGAACTGGAGCAAAGGAAATGAATCATTGAATCAAAATCATTCTTGTTTCACTACTCCCCCCTCCAGAGTATATATTTTAACTCCTGATTATTTCAGAAATAGTGTATAATTTACTTTATTACAGATTAGAATGACACCTATTGTTAATTAAACAGGCTGTAATGGCTCCTCTCCTAATTTAAGAAAGTAAAGACTCTTGAAACGGATTATTTCAAAAGGAACCTTTAATCAA